CAGCGTTTGTGATGATTTTGACCGAACAGTTTAAGGTGTCAAGCTCTCATGCTCCTCAACGTGATCCGAGGGGAATTTGCAAATACAAAATAAAACAATAGAACCCCTGACATATGACTCCGAAATTTTTATTATTGATAATTAATATTCCGGTAATTCTGAAACTAAGAAACACTAATGAGAAATTCAAAAAATAGGAAGGACGCTACGAATAATAACGTCCAGGGCTGGACGCCAATACCAACAACGTCCAAAGCTGGACGCTCTTATAAACAGCGTCCACTATGTTTGGTTCGACCAGACCCTGTCCGGCTATCTCCGGCCTTCGACTTGTACCCTCGGCAACTTCCGCAGGACCAAAGCTAGACTCCGCCACCTCTAGCCCGCCGAAAATGGCACTCTAGCAACGCACCACCCTCATTTCGCTCCTTGTTATCCCTCTTTGCCAATTCCCATCGTCGTGCCTTGCTCGCAATGGTGATCCACTAAACCCCCGTTGCTGCCGGGGCCATGGCTGTCCATCTCCGACAGCCATATCCTCCTCAGCAAGGACCGCCCCGACCTCTTCCCTGTTACGCTCGGAGCCATCTCTAGCAACACTAACTACTAACATGTCAGCGTGAGCCCTCTCTCCACCCTTTTCGCTCTCCTACACTAGGCATGCGTAACCGTGCGAGTGGATGCGTTGTGAATTTGTGCGTGAATATCTGTGCATGTTGGCATGAACTCGAGTTGTTTTCTACCGAAAAAGGCTCACACCCCGCTTTATAGATAACGCAACGATCATACAACTCGACACCACACCATATACACCCGAGACAGGATATAACAATGCAAAATAACAGCGACACCACCACAACCCACTCCAAGATCACAACAAGAATACAAAGAGTGTCCTGCAAGAAGCGGTCGGAGTACTCCACCATGACAGAGGTGTCACAAAGAGACGATGTTGCACCCGATGAATCATGGACTCCAAGACGGTGCCTTCAGGAAGGGCACGACACCGGAGCACCGCCACCGCCAATTCAAAAAAAGCATGGGTTTCATGAGCAAAACGAAGGAGGAGAGTAGCCGCAACGTCGCCTTCACGAAGGTAACCACGTCTACAGTTGTCGCTGCCATTGGCCTGGTGCAATCCAAACAAGGATTACCCTATCACACGCACTCTCCGTCTCCGAGACCACTGTTGGTCGCTGAACACCGGACACCATGCCGCCCGGACGCCCATGGTAGGGGTAGCCGCCCGCAGCCAGCTCCACCCATGACCCACGCCGCCGCACCTAGCAACCTGTGCCGGTCGCAGCCTGCGCTGCCCGTGCCACCATGCCGCCCGTCACACCGCCGCCACAACACCATCTGTAACCGCTTCGACGCACCGGCACGCCCGTTTTCCAGTGCGGTGTCCATGCCTGCTCAATCTGGCCCAGGCCTGACCTCGTGTGCATGGAAGACAAAACTTCCCCGTCGCCGCCTACGCCGACCGGGCTTTGCCCGACCACGCCCTTTGTCAATGATTAGGGAGGAGGGAGAGTGGGAGGGGGAACCCCGACGACGGTGGCTAGGGTTACCCTCGATAGCTCACGGGAGCGACGCAGAAGGGAGAGGGGAAAGAGGGGAGGCCTCCTGACTAGCTCACCACTCGAGTTGTTTTCTTAGTAGCAAGGAGTGTACCGGAGCACACTGTCCATGGTTGAATTGCTGGAAGCTTTCGCCCTCAAGGCAGCCCAGAAAGCAATCACGACTTAGTTGTAGAATGCACAGTTAGACTTTCTTGCGACAGTTTTAGTAGCTAATGAATTAGAAATACATACATTCATGTGTGTTAAGACTATTTCTCCTCTAATTTGGCAAAAGCAAACTGGTCTAGAATGGAACAAATGGGCATTTCAGTGATTTGTTATCGATGCCTCACAACCATCACAAGAAAACCAAAGCTCACATATTAAATCTACTAGAGGAAATACTCTCAATATAGTTAAAACAAGAGCACCTGACCGAACCACATAACTGGACGTTGTTTATAACAGTGTCCAGCCGTGGACATCATTCGCAATAGCGTCCAGCCTGGAAGCCGTTGTCAATAGCGTCCTTCCTATTTTTTAAATTTCGGCCCAACCATGATCAATTTTCTAATTGCTGCGGTACTAATTACTAGTAATAAAAAAATCGGCATATGACTTGTGTGCCGGAAAAAGAAAGTTCAGCGATCGGTAGGAGGAAAAGAAAGGCTATGGTAGCAGTATTGTTTAGCACACATTTCTCGTTGGTTGAAATGAAATTGTCGCTAGCATTGCTTCCATGCAACGTCGATGTGACGGGCGAATGCAGCGGCCACGCCCATGGTCCACGAGGAGGAACAAAACGCAGAGAGACAAAAACAAAAATATGATGGCGCTCCTGCTT